CACTCTTGGCCTCACCGTATAAATAGAGTCAAATGGTTGCTCCCTTTTGTCGCTAGTTTATGACCTATAGTTCGCTCTTTTGCAAAACCTCCTCCAAGTACTTAAATCTAGAACTTACCTACGTTGATAATCCGAATAAATTTTGATGAAAGCCCCAGCAACAACCTTTACCAGTTTAAGGAACATTTCAGTTGAAAGTAATAAGTTTATTTAAAAGCACACACACACATTCAAAGGAAAATTTTTGGTTTCTCCTGATGACGTAACGGGGGCCATAATAGTTGACAACTGAGACAAAAGCGTTTCCCTCCGCTGGGAACTTTCATGTGAATTCTACGGGAAAAAATTGTATTCTTTTCAGAAATAAATAGCAAGGGCCAACGTACAAAACTAAGGTGCTGTATCCTGATGGATGTAGTGGGCAAACAGTGAAAATGAAGGCTGACTTGTGCAGCTATTAGAATACTGTATGTACATACTCTTGCAATATTTTGTCACGCGCGGCCTGACGTCTTCAGGGAATTTCATGGAGGAAAATATCTTCCCACAGCTGTACAGTCAGACTTGCTTTTTACGCTGATTTTTTTGCATAGTAAACCAACATGGCCACCCTTTTACTTCGTTTCAAACCAGGAATATGCGATATTTAATTGGTATTTAAAAAGTTCATTCCGATTACTATTTTGCGCTTGCGCTGAGTTGCACGAGCTTTATAGATGACCTTAACTTCTCAGGGAAACTGATGGATGAAAGCAAAGGGAAGTTGTGAAATTAATATACTGTATCCCTGTTCGGATCCGATATAAACTGTAAGGTCTCATTTTGTACTCAAAGTAAGTTTCCCTCGACAAGTTTTTTTTTTTACCGGCGGCATACTTCTGGGTGTAACCCCCTTGATGGGACTAGCATCCTATCGGTTCCCCCGAGAGGGTCTCTAAAGAAAGAGGTTTGCCGCCGAGGCCTACAAACACTGACGATGGTCAAGACAAAAATCGTTCATTTCGACAAACCGTTTAAAACAAGATACTCTATTTTATGACGTTGATTTTGTTTTTATGCATACAGAATGAAGCAACATCTCAAACTAACTTCATGAAATGTTTAGTTTTTGGTACCCCAAATGTAGACCTCTCATCAACAACATTTTTTAGAGGTTTCCGGTTCAAAAAGACAGCCTCTTCAAGACGCCAAATAGCGAAATTGTATACTTTGTTAAAGACTTAAGACCTTAAAACCATACCCAGTTCAGCTGCATTGGCGTTTAGGCCAAATAACGAGTGCCTCCCCGACCCCACGGGGGTTGACCTACAATACATGACACTTGTATTGTGTTCATCAATAGATACTTAGTGTTATCGAAAAACACTGATTCTGTGATTTAACGGTTAATATGGGTAAAGAAATTATAGTGTTGTAAGATTGTTCCAGGAGTGGGCTATTTATTTCTGGCTCTACCAATGGGACAACTAATGACATGATTCGTCCTGTACACTTTCCACTTCAAGTAAACTAGACTTAAGTTCAACTTGTTTAACCCTATCAGCTGCGTACCTATTAAGAAGACAGAGAAGATAAGAACATTTTCAATTTTTTGAAATAATACCAAAATTGAGGTAAATTGTCCCGTCAATCACAACAAAGAGTTCCACTAGTTCCAGATAACAAAAAAAATCAAATCTTGAAACCTTGCCGAGCAACGCTACACGTGAGTTTTCACGCGCAAGCCAAGCACATTTCGCTCGCTTTTGGTTTTGAGCTTACCTGCAATTGGTTTAAAACTCGCCGCGAGTCTTGTGATTGAACAATCGAGAATACTCATTCAAACTAAGATCAAGTGAGGAATAACTTTCGAGATATGAAGCTTGCATTTTGTTTAGACCGTGCGAACCATATCAACAAGCCGTTGGTTGACGTTAAGATAGTGCGAGAAAACAAAACTGAACTGAAGTTGAATGAGGGCAAAGTCACGACATACGGCACGTGAGAAAACACGTGAGAGTTGGGTTTTATTATTTGGTAATCTTCATAAACTATGAAAATTACATTAACATTTTCTCCAAAGATAATCACAATTACAACAAATTGCATCAGTTAGAAGAGAAACATCCAAAAAGCGCCTACGCCGCTGAGGAAGAGTTAAGTTAAATAAATAACAATAGAATAAAAAAAGTCCACTAGAACAGTTCTAAAAACTATAATTACTGCTTCTCCCTCAAAAAAGAGGAAACCCATTTTTGAAAGTTTAAAATACTTTTACTCTCCCTGACTTCATTAGGTTGGCTATTCCATTAACTGACAATTCTATTGAAATAGCTTTATTTATGTACGTCAGTCAGTCTAAATTGATGATTAAAAACGTGGTCAAGCGAAAAATTCCGGCTTTCTTAAAAGAGGGCATGGGTACAAGTTTTCCTTGCAGTGATTTGTGGGATCGTTTGAACGGACAATTGTTAGATGATTACTCGTTGGTATCTAAAGGTTATCAATAAAAAAAATTTTTAACATTGCAATAATTTTGCGTGCGTTGCAGAAGTTTGAATTGCGCGCCCTTCATCTTCTTACACATGTTCGCCTTTTAATTTCCTTTACCCCCTTCAAACACCCGCTAGATAATTATTGAAGATCGAGAAGGGTGTAAGATTTTTTCAAAACATTTGCTTGCTCTTCAACAAGGAAGAATATAAACGGCCTGCTTTTTTTGTTTTATTTTGTTCGTTTGTTTGCAGATATTCCTCTAAAGGTTGATGACATCTACCGCGTGATTTTTTTTGCGTCATCTTGCTATCGATTTTAGCCACTAATTCGGCCATTAAGTCTTCACTTTTAAAGCTGTAAAATCCTCTTTTAAACTGCCCAAACTTAACTGTCGCGACATTATCTGGTGTGAATTCAATCGTGGATAATTTTGCTATTTTTCCACTGGAGCCATTCACTGACGTCACTTGTGGAATAATTTAGCTTGCGTAGCGTCTCCCACGCGCTCGCCCGTTCTTTCTTTCGCCTATTTGTTCCTAGCGCCTTCTACCCAGGCTAGGAATAATAGCAAACAGCCACGAACGGGCTCCTGCAGGAAATATCTTCAAGTGAATCTTGGGTTCTGATTGGCCACAAAAGCGGACCATGTAGCTCTTTCTTTCAGTTTTGTTTCCGTAAGATTCAGCCATCTTGACAGAAGGATCGGTGTAGATACTTAAAGGCCCGGGGGCAGAATCCCTATAAAGGCCTTTGGGAAGGCTCCGCCCGAAAGGAATACCATTTACAGGCCTCAGGTATATGAAAGGGTTGGTAAATAAGTCATTTCGATCGATTTAAGGCCCAAAAAGGCTAACAAATGCATTTTACCGCTGTGAGATAGTCGGAAAACGTTATGTTTTTGCGATTTACTCATATTTTGAATAAAGTGCCCTTACAGCCGTTAAAAAGGAATGCAAAGTTGGAAACTTGGTATGTGAAAGGGGTACCATTTGCCAATAAAAACAAAACTGAATGCAAGGCTGGCATTACAGCAAAGGGCTGATTTATTTCAGACCAATATTTCGGCTCTGAGGAAGACTAATTTTGTTAGCAGAAATTTTCATTGGCCATTCATTCAGCCCTTTGCCGATCAGCGTTGCATTCAGTTTTGCTTTAATCCCCAATTCATGTGAAGTCTGGCAGTAGCATCTCTGCATTAGAGATCGAACAAGAAAGAACAGTCGGTTTTATTTACGCGTTAAGTGGACCTCTGCATTCAAAGATTTTACTACATGCCAATAAAAGGTACACAAAAGGGGTACCTTTTATGTCAAAAATGGTATATACCATGTGGCACGAAATTTGTGCGAGAGTTTATTTTTGGGGATTGGCGATTTTTTGTGTTCTGCGAGAACTAATTTTTGCGAAAAGGACAGATTTGTTTTTCTAGTTGGGAATTAATTGTTGCGATTTTCAGAAAGTACCCAGTGCCCAGCATTGATAGTAGTTTCGTTTTTATTGAGTACGTGCAATAGAAATACATATTTTCAAACAATAAACCAGTATTTCGTTGTTTCTGAATGAAAGAGACAACTTGTGATTGAACAGACACGATTTCTTAGTACTGTATTTTTGGGTAGCAAATTTAAGTTAGAGAATAGTTACTCTGGAGTAAATTTTTGCGGGAAAAAAGTTTGCGGTAATTTTTATTTGGGGGACCTTATTTTTGCGGATCGCTGGAAAAACCGCGAAGATCGCCAAAATTTAGCCTGCGTGCAGACGATAACTAAACTCTGATTAATACCAGTTAACCAGAGTTTAATTTCGTCTGCTCGCAGGCTACCAAAATTAGAACCCGCAAAATTTCGTGCCACTGTAATCAGAAAGGGGTAGGAGGTTGGACCTCGAGACAGGGCGAGTTCGTTTGCGAAATGACCGATCATTTTGGCATGCGTTCTTAGAAATCACCGTCTGGTGATGTCAACACGTGCAGTACGAAGCGTGCTAGTTTTCTTCTACGGCAAGTTGCTTTCCTTGCCACGATTCTCGCTACTTTGGCAGTAAACTGCCGTTCCCGTAGCCATTTTTTACATTTTTTAGGCTTGTTTAAAATTTTTCAGCCCCCAAATTTAAAGATAAGGCTGATTAACAGGACATTTTGCTCATCACAGTGAAGAAACTGCTTCAAAATTGCTGCTTTGGGAACTCAAACATGGTCACCCAAATCAAGGTAGACCGAGAACGAGAGGCCGTGCAAGATTTTATAATTCCATAGTTTGGGGCTTGCCTTGCTTGTTTGGCCTGAGCCGCACTCACTTGGGTTTAGTTTAAGAGATCTTTTCCCCCTGCTCTCAAGCTAAGAGGTCTAGGGTCAGCTACTAAAAAAAGTTTAACTGGTGAAGGGATTTCTACCGGCGAAATCGTTGCTAGGTAAGGTGGACGTCCTCCGCGCGCTTCCTTGGTCGAATCTGCGGAGGAGAGAGCCCTGGGGATAGGGGTAGAAGCTCAGGAAGCCAGCGGATTCAAAATAAGCGTCATGTAACACCAAAATGGCGCTCTTCTAAACAGGCTACTTTCAACGTTGGAGAAGTTAGTATCCCTTGGAGAAGTCGTGAGCTAACAGGTAAGGCTTTTCCAGCCGTTCACTTGTCTTACATGTGACAGGACACGATCCATGAGAAAAATGAAACTAGCGTGCACTATTCATGCAACCTCTTCAGAGCCATTGAGTGGATTTGTACTTTGATCGACTCAGTTTTCTTTGCATCAACACGTGTGGTTTTGTCAATCACAGCGTTTATGGAAGAGTCAAGATGAGTCAATCTTCGTCGTCCAATGAAGTTTCTAATTTCTAGGAAAGGATCGGCTTATTTATTTAAGGCTGGTATATTAAAATTGCCTTCTTTTAATGGGCACACATTTTTTTCAAGAATGATAGCAGTGTCATATAACTTAACGTGGCAGTCTAGCTTGTCACATATATACATGCACAAGGGCTATTAAAACTCTCACCAAAAATGCCACTGGGGTATGTTAAGTGTTCATACTTACTTTACACACTTGATTTACACACTTGATCTAGTGGTCAGTGTAAGCAAAAGTACAAATAGTAAATCTTTGCGGTCAGATTGGTTGTGATCATTTTCACGTCATCTTTGTCTAAATTCCAATGGTGCATCCAGCACAGTCCTAAATCCTGTTATCTCAGATATTGAGGTAATGATATCCTTAAAATCCCTCTTCACAAATTATACAAAATAAAAGCTATAAGGTGTAACAAACTCATAAACTTACCAGCAATACTACTCAATCTGTTTACTTTGTTTTTAGTAAATGGTTATTAATTTTAGTCACCCCTTAATGAGGGCATTTCTGGGGTGCAAAGTCCAAGCTTTCACAATACTGCTGCTCTTGGGTGCCACTAGCATAGGTTTAGACCTAGAGCTTATGTAGGAGTGGTCTGTGGGGTACAGTTGAACCCCCTAACCTGAACCATTAATGTCCGAAACCCATTGATAGTAACTAGAAAAATTCAAATAGTTAAATTCAAACAGCCTTGTAGTAAAATTCTGGAAGTACCCCAGTATTTGTGTAAATTAAATTATACTTTTCAACCTAGCAACATACTTTGTTACTGGAGAGAGGGGTGGTACTCCCTATAATGACCTATGAGGGAAGGCTCTGCCCAAAAGGGGGTACCTTGTTCAGGTTTCAGATATATGTTTCACTGTTTGAAGAAATCTGTCATTTCGGTCTGTAAAAGGCCCAAAATGGCTAATAGATGCAGTGCTGTTGACTCTCCCGGATAATGCAGGAGACTCCAGATTTTGAACCAGATCTCCTGGTCTCCAGATTAGAGTCTAAAATCTCCTGGATAATCACCAAAGTTTTGCCATTTCTTGTAGACTCAACTCTCTGACAATGAAATTTCAAATATTTTGCATAGTTTGAGCTATTTTATTAACATTGAACGTGGTTGGTGGTAAGTTAACCAATCAGGTCAAAATACAATTCAAACATCTTTTTCATGTGGTTTTGGAGAAATGATGTCATGCATTGTGCATTATGACATCATCTACCAATTATCTCAATATTTGAAGACTTGGGGGGGTTGACAGCCCTGCAGATGCATTTTATGGCTGTGAAAGAGTCGAGAAAATACAGGGTGCAAAGAAATTCATTAATTTTTTGCAGCTTTCCGTTTGGGCAAGCTGGAGCTAGTAGTTAATAGCCCAATGTCATTTTGACTATCCCCAAAAAATTTTGATGAGCAGAATTGATTTCACAGTTCTTCTGTCTCATGCCACAGTCTACTAAATGTTAAGACTGACACACTAACTACCAGTAGACAACACCTTTCTGCATACACCATACTGTTTGACAGTCCCAAAGGCTGTTTATATTGTGTAATGTTAATTTTGAAGTTTTCTACAGGCTACTTTTGAATTGTGCTCACCAGATGTAACTTTTTTTTTTGTTTTTGTTTTGCAGACCAGCATAACTGAGAAAGGAGTTACACAATGAGTCTGCTGTCGTTCATTAAACGATTACCGATCGTTTGGTTATGGCTTGTACTGGTATTTTTAGCCAGTGGTCTTATTATCAACTTATTTCAGCTTCTCTTGTTGCCACTCTGGTTTATAAAGAAAGACTTGTTCAGATGGGCCAACCTAAATGTGGTTTACCTGCATTGGTGCCGTAAGTACATGATTACATGTATCTGTTAGTCTCAGAACTAGTAATAACCGAAGGTTTTGGAGTGCAGGCTACAATGATAAAGGTCAAAATGCTTTTGCTCAAATGCTGTACTTTGCCCAAGTTTCATGTGATAGATGGTCAAAACACGCATGATTTGTTACAAGTGACAGAAGTTGCAAATGCACATGATCAGATTGCATTCGATGCATTCCATTCATTTTTAATGGAAGCCTAAATGAAGCCGGCTACATACATGCAGTACATGCGTAATAGCATTCCTGAAGATTAGGATTGGGGGCTCCTCCTGTCGCCCGCAAAAATAAATTATTTCTAAAAATGTTGTTTCTTTGCTCCGGCAAAGACATGTAACAAACGGTCACAAATAATTTCTAACCTAATGCAATAATTAAATTCACTGTGTGATTTTTCAATCTTCTTCACTCCGCCCAGATCCTCTGTGATTATGCCCATAACATGTACATGACCTTGTGGCCTGGTGACCTTATAAACAGCCAAAAGGTCCAATCCCTTATCTTAATTCAGTGATAAGGAGGGATAGCCAATCACAGCTGGCAGTTTGACATATTATTGCTGACAAAGTTTTGAAAGATTTGTTATTATTACTTTGTTTTTCATAGCTCTTAGCTTATACTGTAGGTAATGCAAATTTTACAAATACCAATTTATTATTTTTTATTTTTCCTAACAAAACAAAAATATTTACTAAGAGATATTTGGTAACAGGATGGTTTATATCTTGGATCCTTCCTCTTGCTTGAAGTTTTTTATTCCCTTTTTTTAGCACAGTTGTATTTTTCCAGCACAAAAGCAATCAGATTTTACTTCGCTTGATTCTCGAACCTCTTGAGGATCATGAATAGAGGATCGAGTTGGGTTTTGAGACTTATCAAACTAGAACAGCCTTTGTTAAATTTCTAGTACATATGATAGACCATTTCAGAGTTCCTGCGGGCCTCTGTATCAAAACGGGGTTAAGTGCTCAGCCTTTGATATGGAAATGATTCTTCATTCTCATGCAAATAAAACTCATTTTCACACGAAAGGTTGTGGACTAGGCCTCATTTTGAAGATGAGGGTTTTTGGAACTCGGAAGTGGCGTATTGGCTCTCTTCTTTCGATATTTACTTGCTTCAAGATTCTACAGACGTTGCTCAAGTTTTGGGGAAATTTCTTACTTCGCCCATGTTAGAAAAGACTTTTCTACCCTATAAAAATTTACAAACTCTACTCAACATTAATTTTGATTCATGCAAGAAATGCCTGAATGGATTATGCAAATTCAAGATAGTAGTTGGCAACTCTCCAGGGAAATTTGTATTTGCATGAACGGCTCAAGTGGTGTGTTGTGTTGAACGCTGAAAAATGGTTGAATGGCATTTTGCTTCATGTAAATAGCAAGTGTTGTCAGTTTCACCAGTTGAACAGCAATCACTGACTTTTTGTCAAATGTAAAATCAAAAGGAAGCTTGTGTAAATAAATAAATATCACACGAGGCAGCAGTGTTTGAACTAAGTTGCAAAGTGCTTTTCGTTGTTTTGTTCTAATTAGGCTTTTTTTTTTCATTTTTCCTGCCAATTTTTTTTCCATTGCCAGCTGTTTGTGTATGTCCATCAGCATGTATCTTCAGAATGTTTAGTATAATGTTAGTACTGCACATGCTGCATGTGCCTTAGGCCAGACACATGATTATAAAAATATATAATATTTTCACGAATAAATTTCTTCTTTCCTCTAATCACTGTTTGTCCTGGGCAGCAGACCACTAATCTAGGACTGGTAAGCTTGATTTAGGTTGTTGAAATGAATTTTAAATGTCATTATGTTTGGCTTGTTCATGTCAATTGATTTGGGAAAAATAAGTGAAAAGTGAATGGACAGGTTCCATGGATTAGTAAAGCAGAAGGTGTTATTGTACAACATGGATTTCTGGTCAGTGAACAGGTGAAAGATAAGGCAAAAAGATGAGCTTCTTTTCAATCTTGGTAATAAGTGCCACATACGATTCATTGCCGTGCATGATGAGTTAGCCATTAGCCTTGATGCCTGATCAGCGTTTCTGGTAAAATTTTATGTACAGTTACCAGATTAGTACAAAAAACTATAGGTGAAACCAGTGGGAACATGAGTACTTACTAGTAAGGCTCAAACTTCTATGGGTCTCTGGGATATACCCACACCCTCAGGACGATTGGACTCTTTTTCATATGAAAGTACCAGACATTAAATCAGGTCTCTGTCAAGTTAACTATTACCTGTAGCCTAATGATACATGTAACAAGGTATCAGCAAACTAGCAGTAATTTAGTGCATAATGTAATGCAATGTCAGGATAGCAGTTAAACAGGCATTTTTTTTTTCAAATATTAATATATGTGAATAGTAAGCTCAGACATAAGCATACAACTTTCAGTTCTTAGTCAATCACTGCATATTTCATTTTTAGGCAATGAAGCAATGATTAATAAACAGAATGATATGAGTGGAGAGCTCAAGAAAAAAATCTGAATTTCATATGGGCATTGCACCCATGACCTTTGAGACACAAGTCTAATGCTCTAGTGATATAATGTGCCTTTAATTTCATGCTCAGTGCAAAAATCATTTTGTTAAGTTATGCTAACCAAGTCACCTTATTATTAATTTTTTCTGATTCATGACATAATAGGGCCATTTATACGAGGAAAAATAAGACGCGTCTTACATAAGACGTGTCTTAAATAAGACGCGAACTTTCCGTATAAACGGCACATTTCGTCTAAAATAAGACGCAGCTTAGCTAAGACGTGTCTTATTAGATAAGACATGCTCGTATAAATGGTCCAGTTCGCGTCTTATTTAAGACGCGTCTTATTTTTCCTCGTATAAATGGCCCTAATGTCAATCAGTATTTATTGTAAACAAAAATAAGTGTACTCACCAAAGAAAGTTTGTCTCTTGCATTATTTCATCAAATATGATTTTACTAACCTAAAACGTCTCATTCTTCTCCTAGCTGTATGCCAGTTTGTATGAATGTTCCATCATCTGTAATGTAGTTTGGTAGTTAGAAACTATTTGCATAATTTCTAGCCAAATTGTCTGTTATCTTTGTGGTGTATTATGTCCAAATTGGTCAGACTTCACCCACTCTTTCTTTTATTTGGATTTAAGAATTTGTTTGTTTATTTTCAAGCAAAAAGAAAAATATTGTTCTTTGTTTGAAAATTAGTGTTAGTTTTAATCTTTCCCAACCTTATTTTTTGATCTATATATTCACTGTTCATTTTTTGGGATGTCTAGACATATTGAAAAGGGAGCATTTCCTTTTCCTCTCTAAAACAGGGCAAACTGTACAATAGTCTTAACATATGTTGCAGGCAGGTTTTCTCACACAGTCAATTTATCGTATTTTCTTGAAAGAGTGCTGTGAAATTTGCTAAATTTTTTGCTTCAGTTTTGATGTAGCTCTTACAAGAAGACAACAAATACAGAGACTTTGTTTGGGGATGGTGCTTATTTAGAACTTGTTTTTTAAAACCAGCAAGGCAAAACATGGTTCTTTCTTTCTTAATTTGTTTAAGAATGAGAATGATAGAACAGGAAGAATGCAATAAAAGGTATATAAAAAACAACCCTTGACAATTGGTTTAAAATTCAATAAATTCAGTCAGTTCAATTAAAGTGAGAGTTACACAGCAATTTTTTTCAAATGATATGCCTTAGAATGTCTTCAACATGCTTGCTTGATGTCTTGTATGCTAATATGTCTGCCTTTTCAAACTGAAAATCAAGCAGTGTCATAGACTTGAACATACTAGGTAGTGATAATGTTTAATTTATTATATTTAATATCTCTATGCCATAGAAGTCTTTTTTTAATTAATTGATTCTAGCTAATTATTTAGATTAGGTCTTATATATGTTGCACTGAAGTGTATGGAATAATAGTTACCGATTTTTGGCAATTATTATTCAAAACACTGGGAATTGCTCCAGGTGATGGTTCTAGAAGATGTGAATCATTATTCTTGTTAATTTCCTCTACTTTGTTATTCATTAAAGGTAGTTTTGAATAATTGATCATTAGTAACTAACAGCTGACTGAATATCTTTTTGTTTGATTTCTTTGATGATCGATGTTTTCTTATTAACCCATTTGCTCCTGGGAATTTTGCCAGGAAATGCTTTTTGAAGCTTGTCTAGCCTTTTCAAGCTAAAACTTACCAAAAAACCCTTTACAGTTTGTATGTTTCATGACCTTTGGATCCTGATGCAAAATATTAGCTTCTGAAGATCAGACTTGCGCCGAAAGTAAAATATCGATATAGTTTTTGAGTTTAGAAGTGATACAACAGTCTTGACTTTTTGTTTTTGCTTTCTCTCCATGCCTCCTTCTTATTTATTTCTTTTTTTGCTTTCTTGGCCTCGTTTTTTTCTTTTGCTGGGTATTTAGAAGGCTTCATTTCATTGGGAAATAACAAACACCCTGCTATACTAAAATTAGTGACATTCATTGCCTCATTTTTCATAAAATACATGTACATATACATGTACATAAATGTTGTAACGGCTTGTGAACAATACAGCTTTCTCTCAACCCTCCTCGTTGCTAGGGATATTTTGCAGCCTGAGAGGCATCAAGTTCAGCCCAAAAAACTCTATGCTGATGTAATGATGATTATTTTTGTCTGGAATCTGGTCAATACTGATTGGTTGATGTAGTTTTTATGTTTTTTTATCTATCATTTAAATATGAAGGCAATAATCTATTAAAAAACAGCCATTATTCATGATATATTATTCTTCTTTACAAGAAGAGTTTGAGTTTCGCTGCTACTTTGTGATGTAGACCAGTAGGAATATAAACTTGAACAAATTTACATGTAGAACCCCATGACTAGCGGTTTATTTCTTTAGACCTTGATTTACAAACTATACATCATCAGTATGGAATTATCCTTAGTGGTAAGGATTGAAGAGAGTTATCTGTATTTGCAGGCTAATTTTGTAACAAACAATTTTTTGTCATCTCTTTGACACTTGTTACAATGGGGTTGCCCTGCAAAGGTGGGGCTGTTTGTATTGATGAGAAAAAAAGGTCTTGACAGTGTATATTGTCTGAATGATTTAAAAGTTACATGTACAGTTGTACATTCAAAAATCAGGTAATTTTGAGCCAAAGAAAAAATGACCTTTAGCTTGGCTAACTAGTATGCCCTGTTTGCAATCATTCCTCCCATATGTCAGTTGAAGGGCTTCATACAATAACTCATTTCCTTTTTGGAGGGGACCTCTTTTGGTCGCAAAATCACAGGTGTTTCTCCTGTAAAATAATTATCCCTAGTGGTAAGGATTGAGGAGAGTTAGCGGTATTTGCAGGCTAATTTTGACTAACAAACAATTTTTTTTTCATCTCTTTGACACTTGTTACAATGGTGTTGCACTGCAAACTTAAGGTGGGGCTGTTTGTATTGATGTTACTGTATCCCAGTGAAAGAATATCATTTTTTTGTTTTCAGAGTTAACGTTCCTCGCTGAATGGTGGTCAGGACTGGATATAAAACTGTATGGAACAAAGGAAGATTTTGATAAACTTGGAAAAGAAAGTGCAATTATTGTGTGTAATCACCGCAGTGATGTTGACTGGCTAATTGGTTATACACTCGCAGACAGAGCAGGAGTATTGGCGGTAAGAACTTACCAGCATTGGTATAGATGTACGGTCAATCAATAGATCATCAGTGATAAATAGAATACTGTTTTTTTGTTGTTTAATCATACAAATGTAGGTGGAGCAGTGAAACAATACCTTTACCCTTTGATTTTGCGGTCATGCAATTTTACACAATAATGTGCTTACCGTGAAAATGTACATGTACCAAATTAAAGGCTTGTTCTACCTCTGAGCAATTCAATTTCACTGCTGAATTTTTAAACTAAGACTTCCTAGTCTGTATTTTTTAGTTACAAACTTCTGCCTTATTACTTCTTTTAAATTTATTTCATATCAGCAGGAACTCTTGGAAAAAGCCCATTATTTCATTGTCAATATGACTTGGCTGGCCATGGTCCTGCTGGCCTTTTCTGACTTTTGAGAAGTGCTCCATGTTAGACCTCATGTCTACATGCTTCATGGTCTCCCCTCACAGTAGACCAATATGCATTTAAAGATTGATTTTAAAGTAATGCTATTTTCCATTTTGTAGACCTGCAAGTGTTACATGAAGGGTTACTTGAAATATTTACCGATAATTGGCTTCTCGTGGTGGTGCACTGAATTTGTGTTTTTGCGTCGAAACTGGCAGAAGGATCGAAAAGTTCTGGAATCAAGTTTGAGCACACTTGGGGACTTTCCCTTTCCATTTTGGGTTGGTAGTTCTTTGTTGTTGTTGTTGTTATTATTATTATTATTATTATCATCATCATCATCACCATTTATTAATATTATTTTTGATGTTCATTTCTCGGTTGTTTGTTGAATTGTAGGCTGTTTCTTTTGGCTCAACATTACCTGATATAGGATAGCACCATCTGTCTTTAGAACAACTGGGTCCAGCCTGCACCACAGACAGAGCAAAACTTCTGGTTAAGTTTTTCTGCACAACAGCTCCAAAATCCTTGTCCAGGACAAGGATATTGGCACTGCTTCGCTGACTTAGCTAACTGTGGTTAGATTACACCCGCAGTGCAGACTAAGCTTTTTGCCACTAAAGCATTTCCTTCATTTTGCAAAACGAAGGCAAAAAATGGAGTCACCGTCCGTTGTAAACTGAGTAGGTAAAGCACACTTTTTACAGTCATTCTGTTGTTTGCTCAACAAATGTTCTCAAACTCAACTTTTCACATCAAATTTTTCCAGCACAAGGCACAAAGATGAGAAAAAAAGGTTTTCACAGTGTATATTGTCTGAATGATTTAAAAGTTTCATGTACAGTTGTACAGTCAAAAATCGGGTAATTTTGAGCCAAAGAAAACAATGACCTTTAGCTTGACTTGTCAGTATGCCCTGTTTGCAATCATTCCTCCCACACCTCAATTGAAGGGCTTCATTCGACAACTCATTTCCTTTTTGGCAGGGGATCTCTTTGCATATAGCCCTTCAATTATTACTTGCAGTTCCCAAGTAAGGATAGCCAGCATGGCAGTTGAGCAGCCTGAGAAAACAGCTAACACTTTGTGACACCACCACTGGTTTCCCCGTGAAATGACGTCTGAGAAATGAGCGCAGAAATTCCACACTGATGATGTGGCTTCTGATTGGCCAAACCACATGGGAAATTTGCTTCAACCAATCAGAAGCACTACCCAGATCTGGATAGTGACGCGTCATCAGTATGGAAAATTTTCTCCGCTCGTTTCTCAGACGTCATTCCGTGGGGAAACCAGTGGTGGCGTTGCGAAGTGTCGGATGTTTTCTCAGGCTAGCATGGCAGGCGCTGGTTGTTGTTTGTTTTTTTTTTAGTGAGTTTTTATAGAGCGTGCAAGAGGAACACACAAAGGGGAGAGAAGGCCTCCTCTCCTTTTCTCCCCTCTCGCGCCTTTGATATTTCTCCTTTTGTGATAAAGAAATGATGCCTGCTACCCAGGGAAAAGTAAGGACCAAGAAATCCAAAACAGAGCTTTATAACTTTTTTCACTTTCAGTTGGCAATTTTCGCGGAGGGAACAAGATTGACAAAAGCGAAAGTAGAAGCTAGTATAGAATATGCTCGAGCAAATGGCCTACCAGAGTTGAAGCACCATCTTCTACCAAGGTCCAAGGGATTTGCTTTGACTGCACAATACTTCAAGGACAAAGGTGAGATGGGAGTCACTAACCAGAACAACACAATAGGACAGTTTCACAATTTATCATTTCCTAAATAAGAAAGGAACTAAAGTTATGTAGAAATCTAAGCATTATTGTAAATTTCCTAATGGTTTAACCACGGTTCCTCAAACATGAATGCAAGTGTGAGTAATGGTTATCTATTTGTGATAAATAAAAAGATGGTCTTTTTTAAGCTTGTTTGCAAAATGAGATAGTCCCTAACTTCCGAAACAAAGGGTGACAGGATATAATAGTAATAATAATAATAATAATAATAATAATAATAATAATAATAATGATCGTTTATTCAACCTTTTTGCAGCATAAACTGAATTGCAAGGCGGGTCATTAATTACATACAAATACCTCGGAATTATGACACGTAAATATAACTGTTAAAGTTAAGACATATCACATTTCGCTATTTTAAACGTGATTCTTGTATTTGATGGTGCAAAAATTTCCAAATCTGTTAGTTCGTGAGGAGGGAGGCACAGAAACAGATTCTCCTGTTCTAAGGGCATACGGTCTTGTGTGCGCAACTCGCGGCACTAAGCTTCGTAGCAGCTCGGAAGAAGAGTAACTTTTCTTGAGAAATGTTATGCACGCATCCTCCCTCCTCTGGCGCAGCAAATCTAAGCCTGATGTCTTAAGCTGAACTACTTGTTCTAGAGGAGCGTGTCACTGATAAGCCCAAAGAACACATTAAGGAAGTTACATATATACTCTATCTCTTGACTATTCCTTGAACTAAAGACATAGTTATTGTTGATCCTGGCACTATACAAGACGCATGTCGCCTGTGAACCTATGACATATGGCCTTGCTCTCCATAAGTCTCTCCGTTTGTCAGTGGATAGGGTGCTTGCCCAGTGTTTTGGGTGTGGGGGCACCCGCTTGGGAATGTGCTTGTTTTACTTTATTGATCCCATGACTGTTTCTGAAATAATGAATATCACATGTTTCTCTAATTAAAATGTTTCAAAAAATCGTGTTAGGAACAAGGCTTTTGAAGCTTTAAAGGAAGAAAAACAACAACGAAAATATGTGAGTTGCTTCAAATATAAGTTGACTCCTTAGATGCCTTTTATAATTTTTTTTTTTTTAGTGCCCGCAGTCTATGATTTCGAAGTTGGTTTTCCAGAGAACAAGGAACCTAACCTGACTCAAATGCTGATAGGTGAGGGCAATGATGTTCATCTCTGGGTGAGGTAAGACCAGTACAGTACAAATTGAAAGTTTCTGTTTGTTTATTCATCATACAATCTAAAATGAAATGTTTCACATTTAGAATAATTATCCTTCTGACTCCCCGCAAAAAAATCCCAGCTTAGAAAATACTGTCTAATTCATCTTATCCAAAGAGGTACCCAAATCATGGTCTTTACTGCTCCCGCCCACCGGATCCTCCACTTCGTTTTGAATCCTGTGTACCCCCCTGGGGCTTAAAAGCCATAAAGTAAATGCTGCTCACAGAGTGCGGTCATTTATCTTGTTAATTTAATGAAAGATATTTTTGATTATGTTATGTGTATGGGAGGCTTCTTCATCGTTTGTCTCACGATTGCCACGAGAAAAATTCGTTATACGTCAGTTACAAGCAACCACAGAATGACTAATATTCCCGCTTAAGCGACAGTAAATTAACTGTAAGACTAGCATTACGTGATCGCGATCGAGGTGGGAGCCCGGGAAATGTTGGAAGGTTTAAACCCCCTTTCCCCCCTCCCCCCCCCCCCCCCTTCCTTCCCTTTGCACGATCCACGTTGAACGAGCCAAACAATTATCATCTTATGGGAAACTTTTCGAGAGGCTAGTTTCAGAGTTCAGTTGGGCTTGAGGTTGTCATGGAAAATGTCAGCGAATCCTGGTTTGAGTTTAAGGCTTTCAAATGAATTAAACGCGAATCAACTCATAGGCGTTAGAAAAGGCGAATGAACTTTAAGCTTGGAAGCAAAAAGCGTTATAACTGCTTTTAAGGTGGCCCGAACCATTTTCTATGTGTGTTGGGTATGTTTTTGAACCCTTTTTTTCAGCAGGAACGATAACTTTCTCAAATGTGTTAGCGTAGCATTTTAAGGTTAAATTTGACCACCATTTTGCGCAGCGAGGTTTATGGTCGCGATTGACTTCAAACTTGCAGATATAAAACTAGAGAACTCTGAGGCTTATTAGACATACTATTGATCTCTGTCATGTTTGCCTGTATCTCTTGTTGTACGTAGGCGATTCCCGCTTCAAGACATTCCTTGTAACACCGTTGAAGAAACTTCAAACTGGTGTAGGAAAGCCTTCCAAGAAAAGGTAATGAGTTCATAGTGAACATTGCACATGTAGCCAGCTTTTCTGACTGTCCATTGGTTCGTAACTTCGAAAACTCATGTTCTGTTACTGCGAGGGTCACGACTCTCGCGCGCGTTAGTATCAGTTGTCTGCTACACGGCCGTTTTTAGTGTCGTCACGCAACACTAAAAACGGCTGTGTAGCTGTGTAGCAGACTATAGTATCAGTAGCGAGGATAGCATCTATAGGTCAATCATCTGTTTGGGAGACAATAAGTGTTCCGGCAAATACATGTACCTCCTCCGTTGCTAATATTGAACGTATGCAACATGACAGCAGAGGAAAGAAGACCGTGACGGCAATCCTCGTGTGGCAAGCGTGACATTAAATACTGGTCCACGGCTCCAATGACTGCTTAAGGAAGAATTATGTACCACTGATGTTAAGAAAACTTCCAAGCGCTTTTGAATTTAATAAAGACGAAATAACTCAACAGCACTCGATACCCGGTTGAACCTTAGTTTCGCGTAGAATTTGGTGACAAAATGAACACAGCACTCAAAGACGTGATTTCTGATTGGGTACTTTTCACTTTCTCGCGATTGGTTGAAACGCTTTGGGTTCTTATTAACCCATAGAACTTACCTCCGGGAACTGTCGTGGGGAATTCTTTTGTTCTTTTTTACTTATCCATGGAACTTTCACCGAGGAAATTTCACTCTGGGGAAGTCCATTTCACACAAAAAGTTTTCTTCCCTTTGGGCAACACCTGTTTGCGCATGGGTAAAACGGCTAGTGTAACGGTAGCCACTGATAAAGCTAAAAAGCAAAACCCTTTGTAACGCAAAATGTTTTTATTTTTAGGACAAAGGAATGAGCTACTTCTTTGAACATGGAAGATTTCCCGCCGAGAGATATGAGTACCCTAGGAAATTAAGAAATCTTATAACTTGTGTAGCGTGGAATGTTGTTTTGAGCCTTCCGCTTTTGTGGTATATTATCTCTGTTATTATCTCTGGCTCCATAACTTCGTTTATTATTGCTGGAACAATCGCCCTTATAGGTGAGTTTTATCCAAGCAAATTTAAAACAAGAATACTAGGGGGAATCATCAAGAGAGGATAAAGGGGACAGAGAAGGCATCCCCCATACAGACCCTATTCCTCGAGTTATTTTTAGAATTGGGATAAAGTTACCTCGCGCGCTGCGTGGATGTTTCGTGGAGGTTGCGCATGACTAAACGCCGTGCAAAACATGTCGGGCGAAAGGCAATGAAGACGTGAAGAGATCGAGAGCATTTCTGAATATTGAAGCGAAATGAGTCGGCGCTCACCTGGGAAAAGGGAATCGCTGGACTCTTTGACAACTCGTGAAATCAGTTTAACTCGAAGTTGTCGTAATCTCGGTACTTTAATAAAATGAGAAATTTCGCCGGTCTATTGAAACCGGTCGTTTGTATAATAAAGCAAGTAGGACGCCAAGTGCTCTCTTCAAACAGTAAATTATAAATGATCCTGAGAGAATATTCAGTGTGTTAAGCATTTCATGCTGTACTGTTACCTCTATACAAGAGAAGAAGGGCGATTCTTTTGTAATTTCCGTTTCGCTGACACAGCTTTAGCAGAAATCTCTCTTTAGTCGTTTTCGTTGACGAAACAAATAGCAATATCGCTCTACGCGTATTCCGCCATTTTTTTCGACGTCAATTCGTGAAGGACGCGTGGCTCTGAGCGTGGGTCATCCACGCGGAACACGTTCGCGCTATATGATTGGCTGTTGTCTAATCCCCCTTGGGATCTATGGTCTTAAAAATAACTCGAGACGAATTACCTATGGAATAGGGTGTGTATGGGGGATGCCTTCTCTGTCTCCTTTATTCTCTCTTGGAGTAATGCAAGACACAACGCCTTTTATTAAAAGCATGTTTCTGAACGACAATATTTGCTCGTAGATTTATTTTGTTTAAATTTCTTTGGCACACCTCGGTTCCGCTGATCACGAAATTGACAGGCTCAAATGTGACGTTATGAGACAAATTCAGAAGCTGAAAAGGGGGATTTTCTGCTTGCTTATCCCTGTTTTGAGGCAACCTGTGTAGTTACATCTACCCGCAGCGCATCCTACTGGCATGTTATACCTTTTGACAACTGTTTCAGGTTGTGAATTGGAAGAAGTATTTCTAGAACTCCATACTTCTTCAAGCTGCTTGTATCCATGCTTGCATCTAAAGTCACGTGTGCGTAAATTTACTTCATAATTCCTTAATTTATGTCGCCGTTTCTTTGTTTTCGTGAGGCTTCCGAGAGAAGACTAAGCCGAATGGATTGCCTTAATGGCGACAAATTTGATTGTTTCCAAGAATTCAAAAAAAATGGCGTGTTTCAGTCACAAATTTTTTTCGCCGAGGTTCTCGTAAATGTCTACTTTCAATTAACAGAGATAACAATTTTTTAGGTTTTATTTTTGTAACCAAGATTTTGAAATAAATAACTTAAGTTGTTGTAGGTTATGGGCACTTAAACCTTACCCCCAGCTTACCCCCTTTAAGACGGTTTTGTGTACACACAGGTTCCCGTTTCTTGAAAGTCCCGGAAACTTTCGGACCTGTAGACGCGTTTTAAAAAAAAACATTAGTCTTGTTTTGCCGGATTTCTTTCGTTAGCTTAAAATTTCAGAGCTTTCATTCCCAAAATCAGCATGCCCAATTTGAATATTTGACGCAAACATTTACGCTGAGCGAGACAGAAAAGAGCTTCAAGCAACAGCCACCCGGCACTATAAGTGGAGATTACGATATCTTTTTGTGTTTGGTCACTTATCCTTGACTTCTTTATTTTATTTCATTTCTAGGTTACATTATGATCAAAGTGCTGCTACATTTTAGCGACTCCAAGAAAGGCAGTAGTTTTGGACTAAAACCGTCTAGTAACAATGGGGTCAAGAAGCAAAGCTAAACAGCAAAATAGAGAGCTTTAGATTCTGAGACAAAAACTACCACGAGTACGAGATTTTCTTAATACTGAGTATTGCTCACGCGTGAACCAGCGTCATTTTGGCGGGAAAACGTGATAGTCGTCGTTATTCTACTATGAGTTTTAGCGAGAATGTCGTACTGGCGGGAACAAGTAAATAGTTGTCAAATGTAAGACGTTTTATCATTTTGCTATCGGGAAAGGGCTGAACCTCGTTCAGTATGAATAACCATACTAACTTTCTTGGTGAAAAAAAAGGAGAATGAAGCTTTCCGGGGTGTCCCTTTTTTTAGAACGGGCACAAAAACTTTGAGTCAAATCTCGCACTGTTACTCGTTCTCGTCCTCAAATCTAAAGCTCTCTAATAACCCAGGCTACGTTCACATGTTCTCAGCTTAGTTGCCACGCATCCATGCAACCACGCCTTGTCAGTGAAAAAAATTAGTTGGTCATGTTGACATTGCGCGTTCAAATTTTTCAACGGCTAGGCGTCTAAATTTTCGCGCGGTTAGGGTGATTCTATGTGAACTAAACACCTAAACGCACGAATCTTCCACCGGTCGAAAATTCGTCTGGTTAACGTAGCCTTATTAAAAACGCAACAATGTAGTGAATTTTGGAATGTTTGTCCTGGAAACAAAACGGCTTTATTTTTTTACTTGTTTTGAGAAATCCACTTTAGCAACGAAATCCAATTTTTAAATTGAAGGTTATAACATGAACAATGCACGTGAATTTGCGAATTGTTATGGAACTTTTTAAGGTGATTTATTTGTGGAAGAGCCTAGTTTACACATAGTTATGGGAAGAAGTTTAAATGTTAAACTCTTTAGGTGGAATTATTTCAATTTGAGTGTATAGGATTTGATTTACATAGGGCATTGCCTTCTACACACATTTATTGAACTAAAAAACGCCACGTGCTGCTAATTTTTGTCGATTTACGGACTGTCCTTCTAGAACGCCACAAGCACTTTGTGTTTGCCCAGGAGAGGAAGAGAAATTTTATCGAACAAATTGCATCGATCGTCATGAATATATTTATTTTTTTCACGAGAAAATCTCAGATCTTTATATTGTAGAAAATCGTGTTTGTGTTAATTTATGGTCTTCTGAATTAGCCAAACTCAAACACTCACCAAAAAGAATCTTGGTTTAAAACACTTTTAGTAATTTGGTGGCTAATGTATCTTAGTATTTGATAAAATAGATTTTTTTAAAGAGATTTCAATTCATATACTAAATATATATGAATTAACTTGAATAGAGTGTTCTCACATGACGTCACGGCGGCCATATTGGTGTCCCAAAACAATGCAACAGTGGCCATGTTGGTGTTCCAAACCAATCCTGTGGGAGTTGAACTCTTTTCTTATGCAAACGCTTTCTTTTATTCCAATAAATTTGCATAGATGCTGGTCACGTGAGTGAAAACACTCTATAAGTAAGTAAAAAAAGTCAAAATACGAAAGTAAGAGAGATCAGAGAGATGTCTGTGCTGGTTGAGTCAAGGATTCTTGTCCAATCATTAGGGAGCTCTAGCATCTATGACGGCGATGGCAGCGAAAAACGGCACAAAAAATGAATTCGCGCTGCTTCAAACTTCTTCGCTCTTATTGCATCTCGTTCAATATGTCAAATGTAGGCGAATTTTTCTGGAGTTGGATTCTAAAGGTCTGTGTCTTAGTTCGCAGAAAAAAGAAAAATTAAATAAATCGCGTGAAATTAGGAAGTTTCACGTCGCAGTTCTGCAACGAAAAAGCGTGATGCTCGTGAAAAGTTGTTTTTTCGTAGATTAAACCTGTTGCTGTTTTTGCCGTTCTCTTTGCTTTTGCCGTGGTCGTTGCTGAAGCTCTCTAACGTTAATAAAGGATTTTGATAATCACTAAATCGAGGATACTTAGTCTCTGTCCACACGTATCACGTTATTTTTGAAAACGGAGATTTTTCCCGCGTTTTAAAAACGTACGCAGCGCATCTACTCGTAGCATATTCAAATCGTCTCTGCTCATCGTACGCCGATCTACGCGTAGCGTATTCAAATCGTCTCTTCTCATCCACACGAAAACGCTAAAACGATGCAAATACGATAGCTTCCCTTACAGCACCCTTACAGATTGTGAGCTGTATGATGGATGACATCATTGTGTTCGAAAACCTCCATTTTCGTCTTTACACAAGACAACAATCATCTATCGTTTTCAAAAATCTCCACCCCGGGGACCGTTTTCGAAACCTGCACTTTTGGTGCCTAAACACGCCGTTTGCATGTGGATGGAACGG